ATGGCTTGACAACAGGTGCCAGGTAGCATTCAGCAGCGTCATTCGATGTGATGAAGGAGGGTGGGTGCTGATCGAAGACTTGGTGAGGCATGAGCAACTATGGACCCATGAAAGCAGACGCATCACCGAAGCGGTCTCATGGTCCGATGAGCAACAGAGGAAGAGAGTGTACAATGAAAGACTTCAGCTATTGTTCCAAGGGAACATGCTCGCAGCCACGAAACGCCACAAGGCCAAGATTCGGTTGCAGTTCCTGGGAGTGAGAGTGAAGGACCCCGGCGTGGAAACTCTTGGATCCGCAGGTTCGAACATGTTGGTATCGGTTCCTGACCAGATCACGGAGATCCAGAACAATGATCGTTGCCGGCACAACCAGAGGTACCTGAACGTTTGCAACGGCTGGGTGAAGCCATGGGCAGTTCGGGCTACAAGTGGTCACTCTGCGCACTCGGATCCCCAGAACAATTTGCTTCAGTTGGACAAGAACAGGTTCGCAATATCTCCATCCATGACCCTCTTGCAACGTCTCGGAGGAGCGTTCCACGCTACAGCATGTCGCAACTTGGATTCCATTGTCACGCAAGGCATCATGCCTGGTTCGGAGGACCCCGACGGGGACTTCGACCACAGGCGCCAATTTCGAGGCAACCAAGGCGGCAGACTCCACAGCTATTGGGGGGTGTTTGCACCGTTCGATCACCGGAACGCGACGACCAAGATGCGGGTGCATGGACGAGATGCCAAGCACATGCCACTGGCGGTCCTCCATGTCCCATCGCAGGACCTTGCACGAGAAGATGGACGTATCACAGACAGCGGCATCATGATCGTTGGCCGGACGATACCGTTCCATTTCGTCAAGGAGGTATGGTTTTGCGTCCCGGATCCTCAAGATACACACTCTTTCGCTCTGGTGGAAAAGATCTACGATGAACGATTGGAGAAAGAGCTGGTGTTGGACTACAATGCATCACCATTGCTCCCTGAGTTCGAGAGATACCGAACGCCGAGCAAGATCATGGAATTGCTTTGCGAAATGCCTCCTGGACCCCACGACACCAGCAAGGAGCAGATCATTCGAGACCTTACGACTGTCCTGGAGTCCCACAGGGAGAACACGGTTCGGCATCACTACATGGACAAAGGGATCAAGTTTGTCATCAAGAATTGGCGACCCGAAGACCTACGCAGAGACGAGGATGGAAGGAGAATGAGGGTGTGCCCGGCATGCTACAACATCGTTCCAGCATGCTTCTCCCGATGCACGTCTTGCTGGTCACAGTTCGTTTCTAGCGGATATTACCAAGGTTCTCCACAACGGGAGACTCCTACGGAGATCCCCAGTGACTTCATTGCTCAGACAATGGAAGCCGCGGCAGCAGCAGTGCCTGAGGCGCCCGAAGAGGAGCAGGAAGCCATGGAGGTAGAGACCGTTGCGGAACCTGAGGAAATCCCAGAACCATCTGTCATCGCGGAGGACGATCCAGAACAGGAACCTGATGAAGAAATGGACATAGAGCCAGGAGAGGACTTTGATGACGCAGTACCAGATGCAGTTGCACAGGAACGCCGTCCCGTCTTCATCACCGGCCAGTCTTTGAACATCGATCCTGAGCTACAACTTGCACGTACCGCCATGCAGCCATCCTACTACTCAGGGAAGCGAAATGCCCATTGCATTGACGCCAACATGGTCGCTCTTTCGTATATGGCTTTCGTGGTATGCAGGACCATCTACAAGGCTTGGTCAGGCTTCGCGAAGTGGGCTACTATGCCGTTGTTTCAGATGAAAGAGAACTTCGCACTTGGCCAACGTTATGATGTGCTTGGAAAATGGGGATCATTGGCTGTAGTGGACAGAGAGACTGGTGTGAGCAGGGATGTGACTGATGAGGAGATCATTCGCTTTGCCAAGGAACCTGAGAACTTCAAGCAGTATGATCCCAACGGGACTTACACTTTGAAGCGCTTCCGGACGAATCAGATGCTTTCGTTGATTACACGGGGAGCCAACATGATGGGAATTGGCAGGGACAACTTCAACCCTACTACGTACTTGAAAAGCAACAGGGATGAAGATGTGAAGGCTATGCACTTTTGTTGCCTGAACGTCCTGTGCGAGGTGATTCCGATGGTGACGGGACACCAACAATTCTCAGTGCTACGACCAACGCCAACTGGACCGGTGGACTTCTTGTACATCGACCCCGTCGGTATCCTGCTGACTCATTCCGATCATTCAGTCCAGACCATCGGATTGCTGGTGGACCACAATGTGCAAATGCCTGCGCATTTCATGGACAGATTGAACAGATCCAAGGCTGAGAGACAGCAAAACCCGACGACCAAGCGTACTGAAGCCCTACACCACATTTCGGCCGCTGACTATCTCCCTCCAGGTGGTACTTCCATCCTGGACACGCCTGTCACTACGGAGGAACGTGCAAGCGCTTCTTCGGCCAAGGGACCTTCAAAGGGGCGTGAGAGAGCCGGAGGTGAACAGCATGGAGGCTGGAACGCCAACACCTACTATGACTACACCGCCGGCAAAGGCCGAAACAAAGGCAAGGACAAAGGAAAGCAAAGGGAACAGTATCCAGAGGAAAACCTCCGGCCCTGGGACCGCGATCCTGCGACCACGCGAAGATGGAGATGAATCAACGCTTGGTCTTCCTCGCCTATCAGTTCGTGACCTCTGAGCTTCGCCCATGGAATGCCATCGCGAATGCTTCTTTCTTCGGTGACGCCTGATTCGTTTGCCATTTCAGGGGATCGTTACTGACGTAGATGAGTGTCACAACGTTTCTAATTGGGATGCAAAGCTCTGATTTTCAATGTCAACGTTGCGGCGGAACATTTTCTGTTGTCCTATCGTGCCATCTTCCGGGTGAGCAGCGTCGGAGACGCAACTCATGGGGGGTGCGAACGGACTGCGATGCCTTGTCAAGTTCTAAGGTGTCACTATAAGAGCTGTGAGCAAGACCGTGTAAAGTGCAAGAGAAGGGGGCACGCTACGCGTCCCTCGACTCTAAGGGGGCACGCTACGCGTCCCTCATCTTTACCTTTCTATGTGACCGCCCACGCAACGTTTGGCTCAAGTCAATGCCCATAGCTAAGTGCTATAACTGTCTTCTATCCTGAGCAATCAGAGCTATCCCGTTGCACAGACGAACCGCCGCCGGCAGTGAGTGCAAAAGGAACGGCCGCCGGTTCTGCCTGCATAGGATTGCACGCGTGGAAGTGTAAGAGAGACAGGGTCCAGTCTGTGGAGAGTGCAAGCCAGCCACACCTACATTCATTACAGCTCTGGTGGGGAGAGCAGCAACCTAGTCAAGATCAATCCCCCACGCATGGAGGTTCATGGGTAGTTATAAATAAGTGGGGTTATAAGTCCCCTTCTATGGGTTATAAGTATAGTTGCCCTACTTACAACCCTGCTTATAACTACCCCCGGACCTCCAAGTAACCAGGGCGCACGTCTAGGTACAGCTAGACTGGGACCACCCTGAGCCACTGCATAAATCCCAAGCGCAGAATTCCACAAAACTTAAACCCTAAAGCCCATACACTTGAACCAGCCAAGATTGGGCTGGTACGCGGATTTGGGTTTTAGGGGTCGCTGAAGTTGTCCAGTTTTTTTACTCTGCTTCTCGCTTTTCAACAAATGATGTGTCTAGACTTTTGATGTGCTCCTACGGGGAAGATCCCACACCTGTAGTTGACGGTGATACAGCCAGCGAAGCAATCTGGACACTCAGTAGAGCTAAGATGAATGACTTAGTGACCTAGGCCATGTAATCATGATTGCAAAGGTGTGGGGTTCAAGGCCGGGAACGTAGACAAAGAGCTACCCGATCCTCTCCCCCCGAAGATGGTAATCACTGTGGCGCCGTTTGGAGCTTTGGCGACAGACAAGTTGTTAGGGACTGTTACTTGGAAGGCAGGCGACGTAGTAAGTAGGTTATAAGCTGAATTATAAGTACCCTAAATGGAGTTACCCCAATTATAACCCTACTTATAACCTACTTGCTAAGTCCCCCGACCCTCCAAGTAGAAAACGCGGGACCCTCATACAGAGCCTCAGTTGCAGGATCCTTAGTCAGGTGCAATCCCCCTTGACACAGTGGACACCCCGTCTTTCCAGAAGCCTTACCCGTACCCGAAAAAAACCTACTTTTTCAAGGTTGTACAAGCGGAAGTCATAAGGAGGAACCCAAAAAACAGCTAGCTTTCGGTAGGTTTTTCACATGAGCGCCCGCCGCTGCAGCCTTTCATTCAGGCTCAAGGAAGTTTCGGCCCCCACAGAGCTGTGGAAACCACGGGGGTACTCAGTGTTTATGCGATGATATACTATAATATACCCCGAAATTCCACCGTAACTTTAGCAAAGGCCCCCATATGACCCAAAGCAAACTTAACAGGGTGCTTATGTTGCTCTAGAAGGCTCTGAGAATCTGCTGCCAGGGATGTCTGGGGTTCGACAAGGGCTGTGCATTAAAGGGAACTCCAGAAAGTTGGAATATGGTTTCAGGGTAGGATACCCTATAATTTACCATAAAGGGTTTAGGATAATCATATTCCAACTTTCTGGCTTTTACTGTAATGGATTTGCTCGAATTGCGGTATGGTCGTTTCCGACCTTGCAGTGGGGAATGCAAAATGTGTGCATCAACAGGACTGGTAGTCCTGAATTCGGTTCGCTTCGGGGGCAGCCTTGTTCCGAAGATCCCGCAGAAACCGATAATCCTGTAGCCCTCAGAATGCCCCCGGGTGCTGTCTTGAAATAACAGCCTCGATAGTTAGACTAAGGTTTTGTGGGTTGCTGTGCTAAAAGTAGAAGTCTGTCTTCGGGACTGATACTACACGTTTACAGCACCGAAATCTAGAAGTAGGAACCTGAAGCCAAAACCCTAGACCTGAAACGTCACACCCCAAACAGCTTACACATTAAATGCTAGCCACACCTGCCATGACTCACCGAGCCATGGGCGGATGAAGCCATGGGGGAGGAGTCACCAACTGCGGGCACGCTGCCGCAATGCGACGACGCATCCCCCACGGACCAGTGGCTTCAGGCGACCGGGATCGAAATTACTTACCTTTGGTTAGTAGGGAATGGAGGAATGGGGTACCATTATAACTACTATTACTACCATTCTTCCATTCCCTACTAACCAACGGTAAGATTAGAGAAGCTAACATACCCAAAGGCTCCAAACTATTGTTATGGTGGATACTTCCCAAAATCATAATAGTAGTTCCTAGTTCCTAATATAGGATTATAGTAGTTCCTAATATCGAAACTAGAGAAGCTAACGAGGACCCTCCTTGTGCTCTCAAATAGGGGTATATGGTCCCAAGTAAGGGGCATTTAGGGTCTAATAGAGGTAGATGGAGGGTCTAGGAACATAAGAAGGTTCACAGCAGGGAGTCACAAAAAACTCAACTGCTTCGTTTTGGGCTTGCAGAGACGAGGCCCCTTAATAATCATAGAACCCTAAACCCTGAAACCCCCAACAGCCACAACCGAATGCACAACAACCTCAAAGCCCTGAAAGCACTGTACAGCTTCCTGGACCCTCCATCTACCCTTCATTAGAAGACTTGAATGCCCCTTATTTGAAACCACATACCCCTATTTGAGGGTACAAGGAGGGTCTTGGTTTTGGACTTGGCGTTCACATTCGGGGGGTAGGCTGGTAGGTCTGAAGGATGACGGGCGATTTCAGAGCTTTGTCGAAATCTACACTGAGCATTACGGCAAAAAGAGAAGGAGGGGCCAGGCGTTGCGTACTGTTTCGGCTATGGTGCAGAAATCAGTGTTTAGGCATGAGTGAGGCGATGGAGGCTGCTAGGTTAGTCTATGATGATGCCTAGATGTGTGGACCCTTGGGGTTACACTGCACGTAGATAAAGAGCAGGTAGAGAATGGCCAGACCACAAAGGTCTGCTAAAACAACATGTGATCTAGGTCCCCTACTGGCACCCACAAGTAGTCATTCGCGAATTATACCAGGGAGCCAAGTTACCAAACCCTAAACCTTGAACCCTATACTACTTAGCCTTAAACCTTAAGGAACAAAGAGAAGCCTAGGATCTTGTGAACGACTGCGAAGCGCAGATGGGAGTGCCGGGCTCAGACGAAAATCAGAGAAGCGCGGCACAAGGGTGCACCCCTAAGGATTACTACACCCAAAATGATCCCAAAATATCCCAGCCCCAAGGCCCTAAACCCTACTGGTTTTGTAGGGTTCATCCCTAGTGTTTACAGGGTGGTCGGAGCTCGGCGCAGTGGTACGCGAAACCAGCCAACATAAGGTTGGAGCATAGGGTTTAGATGGTTTTAGACTCAAGCATATCCCTGGAGGGAAAAGCAACAAAAACTTCTCAGCACTTCGGTTTCAATGTTTTTCTTCCAATGCCTTGGATATTTTGCACAATTAGATGGGACTCGGCTTGCATGGTTGCAGAGTTTATGGATCCCTCTATGATTTAAGGAACACTGCGGGGTATCTTGCCTTCCGAGAACAGCGTATGCTGGGAAACTTCGAGAAGGGTCCGAAATTTGTGGCAGTCAGCTGAGGATGGTTGCCAGGTGTTGCTTTTGTTGTTTTTTTGGTTTTGAAAGGGTCGCCAACAACTGGAGCCCCTCTTAGAGCCTGCAAAACCTTCAACCTTAAAACCCTAAACCATGCATACCCGAGGCCCTCAACCGTAGTATTCTAAACCCTAAGCCATGTATACCCTAAACCCTGTATTCCCTTAAACCATACGTTCCCTAAACCCTCAACCCTAATGCACTGCGTGTCTCAGACTGGGAGCTGGCTCCCATGGCTGCGTTCGCGCTTGGGCTTCGGCCTCTCGCCGCCTCCCTGTTTGCACCAAGAGGGCGTTTGAGTCAAGTAGTGTGGGGGCCTGAAAAATTCGAAAAGGTTTTGGGGGTTTAGGGTTTAGGGTTTAGGGAAGGTTTTGGGGTAGATTAAATTAGAGTCATAATTGTAATAAGTTACAGCCTGTTTGCACCGAGAGGGAGTTCGAGGGCAGGTGATGTAGGGGCCTTAATATGGGAGTTTCCGAAAATTAGGGGACCCTAATATAGTACCCTAAGTAGTAGGATCCTTATTATAAGGGCCCCCAAATAAGGTACCCCTCTTTTCGGAAACCCCCATATTAAGAATAGGCCTTTGGGGCATACTACCCTATGTTAATATAGTTAACAAGGAGCCCGCAAAATAGTACAGGTAATTATTAAGGCCCCTGAGTAGCGTAACCTAGACGGCTCCAGAATTTGTTGTTGTGCCATAGGGGCCTTATGATGACTGTACTATATGCCTCACAGCCCTATTCCAATTATTAGTGCCCCCCCCCCATTTTATTATTGTTTATTGTTGAGACTTGTTCGTTTTGATCGGTCTGCCTGAATCCCAAGACCACTTTGTGAAGCTCTAGTGGTCGAGTGAATGACCTGGTTGAGAGATACTAAAGACCCAAGAGAGCAGGCTGGAAACCTTACATTCTAAGTGCTACAGTACTCCATGGACCTGACACGTGCTCAATCGTACTTGAGTAAGAGCAACATGCCCTAGGGCAAACAGACTCTCCGGGTCCAAAAACATACTCTCCGAGTCCACATGAACCCGAGAACTTCATGTAGTATGGTATATATGCCACTCAAACTTGATTTAGGGTTTAGGGTTTAGGGTTTAGGGGTCCTTGGAGCCCTAGTGCAAATCCAAAACCCCCGAAACCCTGAATTAAGATCACTCAAACCCTGGCCCCCAAGTGCTTCAACTCTGAACCTCAATCCTTAAGGCCCTAGGGCCCTACGGTAACGGTATCAATCACGGATCCCAGGAAGCGTGGCAAGACCCTATACCCTAAAAACCCTAAACTCTGAGCCCTAAACCCTAAACCCTTTAACCCGAACCCCTAAACCCTAAGCCCCTAAACTAAAGCCTAAACCCCTAAACCCCACACCCCAAACAGCCTAAACCCTTAAACTAAACCCCAAATAACTGGAGCCCAGGAAGTGGCAAGATTTACCTGAAAGCGACGAGCCGGAGGTCGCATCCATCGGTTTTGAAAGATGTGATTTTTTTATCTCTATTTAGGTTTGAGGCGTTGGGTTTAAGGGTTGCAGGGATTGGGGATGTAGGGGTTCAGGGTTGAGGTTCCTGGGTTTTAGGGGTTTCGGAGGTTGAGGGTTTCGGGTTTAGGGTCTCGCACCCCGTGCAGAGCACAGAATATGAGGATTAGGGCCCGCAGGTGCTTCTAGGCTATGCGAAAGGTTACGTAGCCAGTGGGCATCCGGAAACTGAGCGATTTCTTGGGAGCCTTGCGGACCCGAGAGTTTACAGTAAAAGCCAGAAAGTTGGAATATGATTATCCTAACCCTTTAAGGTTTAGGGTTTAGGGTTTAGGGTTTAGGGCTTCTATGGTAAATTATAGGGTATCCTACCCTGAAACCATATTCCAACTTTCTGGAGTTCCCTGTAGGGTGTGCAGTCCGAGGGCGATTATGGGGGAGCTTTGACGAGGTCGTGTCCTGCCCCCTTCTGGCTCCGTGCCCGCTGCTCGAAGCCTCTTGAATGAGTTCATACCTTAGGTACGGCCCCCATACAGTAAGAGTCTATAATAGGGCTATATTTAAGGTCCTACTATATCTATATTCTGAATATTATTCAACTATTACTGAGTGGGGGCCGTACCTAATTCCTACCGCAAGATTTCGTATGCAGTATCATAGCACTGTCGAAGACTTGTAGGATCCGGATCACGACTCGCGGTGCCTGGTTCGTCTCTCTGGAGGCCAAGCGACCACAACTCTTGATACTGTAATCTATCATTCACTGCGGCGTGGGGTGGTTGAGGTGTTTTGGACATGTGCCTGAAGCACCTAAGTACAGCAGATGAGCACCGAGGCCAGAGGTTGATCTCATGTTCTAAACCTTTGCCCTCCGTATTTGGGACATTGAGATCCAGGCCACAACGGTCAAACCCCGAGCCACAAGCGCGCAACCCCATACGATATTGTTGAATGCTTCCCCAAAGGGTTCAAGTAATAGTATATTAGTATAGTAGTCTAGAGTTGTATAGTATATACTGTATACTCTTGGGGCCCAAATACCTACTAAGTACCTACTATCAGGGTACTTGGACCTTTTTTGCTTCTCGAAGACACAAGCCCCACACTGCCGAGGTCGGGCAAGAGGATGCGCAAGAGTGCTCCTTCCTCCTGCAGGGGAAGGCAGAAGCGTCTAATCTAGGGGCCTCAATAATTGAAATAGGGTGTTGGGGCCCATTATACTATAATTATAAGAAGGAACCACCAAAATAGTACAGGTAATTATTCAGGCCCTTATAGTACCACCCAAAGGCACGTATACCCTAAGCCCCAAAGCCTTCTATGTCCTCTTTCAGGCAGACTCAGACTATTGCTCAAGGATTGAGGCCGAGGGTCTATAATAAGGGAACTCTTAAAGGAACCTTCAAAAGAGCCCTTAAAGGAACCCTTAAGGGAACCCTTGAAAGAACCCTTATAGGGCTTGGCTTGTAAGACTTGGAGTTCTTGGATCTACTACCCTTCCTTTCCCTCCCGGCTCCTTAGGCCTGAAATCCTAAAGAGCTGAATCCTCAAGCACTCTAGTGCAGTGTCCTTAGGATATCCCTTGAAGCCTTAAAGGAAGCCCTTGGAGTATCCAAAGTAACACTTAAAGGAACCCTACTTGGAGGCCCAGGGGACTTGGTAAGTAGGTTATAAGTATAAGTAGGGTTGTAAGTACCGTAAATGGAGCTACCCCAATTATAACCATACTCATAACCGACTTACTACGTCCCCTGGGCCTCTAAGTAACCTTAATCCCCCTTTTTGAACCCTTATAGATCCCGTTTAAGGAGCCCTTTAAGGAAGCCTTAAAGGAACCTTTAAGGCTAAGCCCCCTGACCCTCTAAGTAAGCCGAAGAGGTGGGCCCCGATGGGGAGCGGCCGCGATGTGCCCTGGTGACCCTGGACCTACGGCGGGGCAGCTCGTTGAGGCCTCTCTTCTGAATACTTGGAGGTTCAAGTGGTTTAGGGTTTCTTTTAAGGGTTCTATAGTGTTTAGGGATTAGGGTTTAAGGTAGTCATAAGTAGGGTTATATAAGTAGGGTAACTATACTTATAACCCTATTAAGGGACTTATAACCCTACTTACAACTACCCCTGAACCTCCAAGTATCCAAGCTTGGCTACATTTGTTTATGGTTTAGGGTTTGGGTCTCCATTGTGGTTTTTGTTAACCTTTTTTCAGGCTAGGATCCTATTTTGGATGTCTTATGTAGGGGTGTGGGGCTCAGAATATATAGCCCAAAACCCATGTGTACAATTATGGCCTGTGGGCCCGAGAAGAGTCCTTTGAGCCCTAGCGGAGGGGCTTCGAGAATATTTTCATAAGGGGGTGTAGGGGTTTAGGGTTTGGTAGAGATGTATACGTAGGTTCTCGCAGTGACTTTGCCTTCTTAGGGGGCCCAGATTCATAAAGCTATAAACATCCCCAAACCCCAGAGCCCCTAAACCCCAAAACCCTGAAATCTAAAGCCCTAAATCCTAAAACCTTTGACCCTAAACTAAACCTTGAAACCCTAAACCCTCAAACCTTAAACCCTGAACCCTAGATCCTAAACCTTAAACCCCAAGCCCCGAAACCCTGGAAACCCTAAAAGCCTAAACCTTAAAACTCTAAACGCAGCCCCGGCCAGGCGAGTGCAGGATCTTGTGGGTGAGAGCAGCCTCTCTTGCCCCTACTGCCAGGACTTGCCTGCAGCGGGGGGGGGGGTAGGGGTTTTGGGTTTACTGTTTGGGGTTTAGGGTTTTGGGTCTAGGGTTGAGGGTTTTGGGTTTGGGGGGAAAACACCCCAAACCCTGAAGACCCTAAAGCAACATGTTCTCCAACCGTACACCTAGACATAAAAAGTCCTAAATCCGCAGCCGGGTGGATCTTCTTGGGGACATGGCCGGGGTTCCATTTTCTGGCACTGGGTGCTGAGGTCTTGTACCTCGCACTTGCGACTGTCTACATCCTACCCTAGGTTCCTGAGTAGTGCCCTTTTGCCCTTATGATTTTGGAGTTTCCGCTTAATAAAATAGAACATTAGAAAAAAGGGCACACTTATATTTCAGGTGTTACTGGGGAAGGGGGAACCTAGTACCTGACCATATAGACCCCGAGACGACGGTAGAGTTGCATGGTAGAGCAGCGTCAGGGTTCAAAGTGCATCGGGCAGTCGTGCTCCAAAGCCTGCAGGCTACACGCTCTGCGGGCTACCATAGTAAGTAATACTATAGTACGTCCATGGTAGCTACTACTATAGTACTGCTACAGTAATTCGGTGTTGATACCATAGTATTGCTATAGTAATTAATACTATCGTATGGCTATATTAATGCCATGGTACGGTTCATGATATAAATCCTGCATTACCTTAAGGACCCTAAAGTATGGGAATTATGGTATATTCCTATTATGGGTAATGCAGGATTTACATCATCAACCGTAGTAAGTACTACGAAGATCACGGCAGGAGCAGCTGGAGACCCACTGCGCCTCCTTCCTGCGCGCGGGGCAGCGCCTTGTCCTCTTCTTCAAGGATCAGGCGCCGGTGAGGGTTTAGGTTTTAGGGTTTAGGGTTTAGGGTTTTTTTAAGGTTTAGCCGGGGGGGGGTGCGGGGGGGTGCGGGGCCTGCCCTGCCCTAGGGCCCAAAGGGACCATGTAATGGTATAGTATAGCATAGTAGAGTATAGTATGTACTATGTGCTTTTGGGGCCCAGATATCTACTAAGTACCTACAATGTTGGTACTTGGACCCTTCGGGGGGGTCAGATATTTTGTTTGTGAAATAGTAGTTGGGCGGTCTCGGATCAGGGTAACTAGGCTTCGCAGGGCTCAGCTCGGTGTTTCGAGCTTGGGGCTGTTGGTTTTGGGTGTTTTCGGTGCCCTGTGTTTGTGTGAGCTCTGGCCTTTGCCCTAGAGTCTGCTCCCGGAATCCCGAATCCAAGCTCCATCAGCTTTGCGAATGGTGTTGGTCTGATGGTTGTAGTCTAACAGGCTCTTACTCGTAGTTAGCCTTGTTTAATAATTCCATGAACGTAAGCGATAAGAGGACAGAGCTGCATTTGAGACGAGCGTCCGTGGCAGTTCCCGACCGATTCTCGAATTCGAGGTGCTTGTTTGCGAATCTGCGAGGCCTCAGCAGTGTTGTCTGCCAGAAAGCGCTGCCTAGATGGGAAGTTTTGAGTATGTTGCTCTACGTATGGCGTCCCTCAGTAGAATAGATTCCTGCATCCGCTGCGGTTCGTACTAAAAGCACAATAGCTGACACGCCGACAAGAGTCGTTTCTCGTCCTACAGCTGTATCATATACTGTCCTCACCCGCGGAATAAGTTTGTTGGTACAACCTCCTACCCGCCTTGTTAACCAACATCCCGAAAGAGCTTAACGACTTTTCTCCCAAACCCCACTGCGAAGTCTTTCAGGATGTGTCGCGGTTGAAGTGCGTGGAGTGTAGCTTGGCCCATTTCGATTAAAGCTAGTAACCCTAAACCCTAAACCCTAAACCCTAAACCCTACCCTTAATAAAGGCCTTTCGGTCATCAACAATGACTTCCATCTAACAAGGGTAGTTGGGGACCGGGCACCTAGGTAGAATTGAATAATAACACTAATAATAATAATAATAATACTAATAATAGTAATAATAATACTAATAATAATACTAATACTAATACTAATAATAATTAATAATCCCTGGTTTTACTTATAAACCTATAGAGCTCCGGGTTTTGGAATGCTAGGGCTGCTAGGGTTGTGTTCACTGTTCACACAAAGGCAACCCCCGATTTGCAGCAATTTGTGTTCGGTACAGCAACCCAACCTTCAAAACCTCAGGTCACCGGACCGAGGTCAACATGGATGAAGGTTTTGGACAGATGTGTGTGTATGTGTGTTTGAGCGTGTGTGAGTGTGTGGTCTCTGTGTGTCTGTTGTGGGTGTGGCGGTATGATAACATGAATGCGGTCAGTATCATATCATACACCGCCGAAAAGCCCCGACCCCAAACCCATAAACTCTAAACTCCCAAAGCCCTAAAACCTGAAGATTACGATCCTGAAGTCCCCTACAAGCCATAAATCCCTTACAAACCATAAAGCCCCCTGAAATCCTAAAGCCCAGAAGCCTGAAACCCCCACCTCTGTCTGGGACAACCTTGACAAATCTTTGCGAATCACTTACCCAGAGGGTCCGAAGTACCTAAATCGTAGAATGTAGGGTTTCTATAGGATTTAGTGTTATGCTTTGGGGAAGTATGCCCCATAACAGTACCTAGGACCCTTTGGGTTACAGGACTTATGCGAACAGGCTCCTTGAACCCCTGCGCCACTTCACTCAGAGAACCCACGACTGAATAATGAAGGCTTACTTGTTTACGGGTCCAAGTGCCCTGCACCCCGAAACCCTAAGCCCTAGGCCCTAGGAGTCAGGGATAATTAGGGCTTCTCGTTACGAATCACCTAGAATTCCGTGGTTTCCCGTGATCCCAGGGTCTAGGATGTACAATTTAGGGTAAAGTGGGGATAGGGTATTTTTACCAAGACCGGCTACTATAGTCTTGTTCATATTATAAAAGCCCAAGAAAAGGTTGCAAACATCTCTTTTAATGGTTGTAAGGGGCATATGTATATATATATATATATGCTAGGCCGTCACCTCTCCTATTACTAAACCCCGGAAAAACAACCAAAACCCTAAACCCTAAACCCTGGAAAAAACCCTAAACCCTGAAACAGACCCTAAACCCTGAAAAACCCTGAACCCTGAACAAAACAACCTTTGGGATCCTCTGAGGCAAAAGCAAATGGTACTTGCCCAGAGAGGCTCTGAGTTCCATCCCGGCGACCTGGCTTTTCTTTCAGGTGAGACAAAGCGGGCTTAAACTAGGGTTTAGGGTTTAGGATTTAGGGTTGAGGGTTGAGGGCTTAGGGTTTAGGATTTAGAGTTTAGAGTTTAGGGCTTAGGGTTTAGGGTTTAGGGTTTAGGTAAGTAGGTATTAATACTGTTGTTTCGGGGGCCCTTCTTATGATTGTATAATTTCGAAGATGTAATATATACACCAAAACAATATTCGTATTAGTAAGGGGCCTATGGTAGAGTAATATACGGGCTTAAATAAGAAATTGCCAACACACCGATATTATCTTGGGGGTTGACTATTGTAATTATAGCACAGTACACCCCAAAGCCCTATTCTAATTTGTTGAGGCCATTAGAAGTGCAAAGCAAGCAGCAACAGCGTAGGTGGTGGGCTTTAGGGCAGTAGTACTGTGGGTGTCCTTCAATGTCAGGTAGAACATGGTCATTTGGTAATTGGATGCGTAAGGTTTTTTTACACTGCGATGCAACGGTCTAGGGGTTGGGAGAATAAAGCTGCATCGATTACCTAGACCCTCCATCTACCCTCTATTAAGACCCTAAATGCCCCTTATTTGGGACCATATACCCCTAGTTGAGGGTACAAGGAGGGTCCGGGTAGGCTGCTTTCCGAAAGTGTAGCAGATGCCATTGAAGAGCGCCTGAACCCCTGGAAAATTACAGTGTTTGGCCAGACACCCGAAACCTTTATCCACAAGCCCTACCCGGAGAGCCCAATACCCCTTACTTAAGGAATATAGCTTAAATCATACTATGAAGCCCTATATAATTTAAGCCACATTCCTTAATTAAGGGGCCCCTTGGGCTCTCTGTGGTAAAAGCTTGCATGATGCGAGTTTATAGTCTCCAAAGCTCATAACCGCATGGACTAGTTGGAGTCTTCGGGCCCATCCGGAGGCTGAGGGATTGCGGTTAGGGTTTAGGGTTTAGGGTTTAGGGTTTTAGGGTTTTAGGGTTTAGGGTTTTAGGGTTTAGGGTTTAGGGTTTAGGGTTAGTTCAGATACTAGGACCCAGAGTAGGCCCTTATTCCCTTTTTTAGGGTTCAGGTTCCCTCATAAGCCCCTTTAAACCAAAAAGGGCATCCTTTTTATGCCTGGGTTACTCTTGGGTCTAGGATACCCACCCTCAATTCAAATAGAAACCCCCGGGTTTCAAACAAAGATCCATAGTGAACGAGGCAAAAGGGGAACCCGAGATAACATCTAATAACAGTAATAATAGTAATTATAGGATAATAGTAGTATAATAGTAGTATAATGATAGTACACGAATAGTATAACAATCGTATAGTTATGGTACAATGATCGTATAATAATAGTAGTAAGATGAGCCACTGTAAACACTTACTGCCCGAGCGTTACCTGAAGCCTTTATTTAACTTCAGTTCTGAAACTTAGGGTTTAGGGTTCAGGGTTTCCGGTTTAGGGTTTAGGGTTTAACTTCAGTTCTGAAACTCAAGCCGTCGTGGTTCACACAGCCCGCAGCAGGTACAAATGGCAGCCTACAGCCCCACCGTAGGTCATCTTGGAGTTCATTGGTTTGAACACTTATTGCGAACATCCCCATACAGGTAGTTGTCAAAAATATGGTCCCTTCAAGGGTATCCTAAATATAGGTGCTGTGCTATAATAGGGACCCAGACAGGAACCATAAATTTTGACAACCACGCATATAGTCCCTATGTGAGTAGAGTATACTATGCCCCAAAACCTTCTCTATTCCTCTCTAAGTCTGCAGGCCCAGTGACTTAATCAAAAGAACCCACCCCTCATTTCTAGCTGGGATCCCGTAGCTGGAGCCCTGCTTAACTGTTGAGGCCTCCATCTATTGAAGCAGTGTCCCAGGTCTCAGCCTTCTTTGCGCTCTTGTGGTCCGGTCTTCGGGCACTTCCATGCGGCCACAGTCTTCGGGACCCAAGAAGGGTTCAGGGATTGTGGATCGAAGCGTCGAAGCAAGAGACTCCTGATTAACCGTAACCCTAAGGGTCCAAAGGACCCAATAATTAGGTATTCGGTTTTCGGATAGTAGTTATGTAGGTTAGGAATTTGGAGAGTATATGATTATTTGATTATTGGGTACTTGGAATCTTGGGGTAAGCCTTCATATGAAACTTAAAGCCTCATTACTAAAACTCCATAAATACAGACAGGCAGCCCTATGGAATCCAATGCCACAACCTCCAAGCCCTCCAACAAACCCGAAGCCCTATTCCCTGAACCACTTGGAGGATCCTGGGACTTAGTAAGTAAGGTTATAAGTACCTTAATTGGGGTTATACATAATTATACGTATAGTAAGCTGATTTATAACCTTACTTACTAAGTCCCATGATCCTGCAAGCAAAACCAAGGCTTTTCAAACGCGCACTGGGAGCTTTGGAATGCCATCTTCTCTATGCGCCCGGCTCCCGCAGTGGCCTTGGAACTGAGAGGCAACCTGCTGGGCTCTCAAGGGTTGTTCCCAGAGAGCCCAATACCCCTTAATTAAGGAATACCTAGAGTTCCTTAAAGGGATCTATTGGGGATCTATAGGGTTTAGGGTTTAGGGGATTCTAATACCCCTTAACTAAGCAATATAGCTGAAATCATACTATGAAGCCCTATATAGTTTAAGCCATATTCCTTAATTCAGCGGTATTGGGCTCTCTGGGTTGTTCCCAGAAGTTACTCATGAGGGTTTAGCGTTTGGGTTTTGGGGTTAGAGTTTAGTGTTTTGTAGAGATACAGGCTTGGCTTTCGGAGTTTAGGGTTTAGTGCTGCACTGTAGTTACCCGAAAAGCTTGTTTTTGGACTAGTAAGGGCCCGATTATCATCTTTAATCGTCGCGAACCCTCCAACCGTTGGTTCCCAGAGACTCCAATATCCCTTAATTAAGGAATATACCTTAAATTATAGTAGGATCCTTGCTATAATTTAAGGTGTATATTCCTTAATTAAGGGGTATTAGAATCCCCTAAACCCTAAACCCTATAGATCCCTTATAATAGATCCCTTTAAGGAACCCCAAGGTATTCCTAAGTTAAGGGATATTGGAGTCTCTGGGGTTCTTGGAAGGCCCTGCCTTCGTCTGGGTCGAGACGATGCGCAGGAGAAGTCTTTCGAAATTCACTACGGGATCTATAAGGGTTCCTTTAAGGGTTCCTTTAAAAGGGATCTATAAGGGTTCCTTTAAGGGTTCCTTTAAAAGGGATCTCTAGGGTTTAGGGTTTTGTGCTGACATGGGACAAGATCATGGTTGTAATCGGGCGGTTCGGACGATACCGATACGTATGCGGTATTTAGCGGTATATGTCCAGTATTGTGGTGTTTCGTTTCGTGCTCACTTGGTACAAGATATAAACTTACAGACCCCTTATCGAAACCCCTTTACGGAGGGGTTGTCATAAGGATTCTCTACGGGAGCAACATGATTTATAGGGGTTTCAAAGGTCCACAGCAGTTGGTAATTTTTTTGGTATGCTGTAGGTTACTGGGTTCTAGGTGCTGAGAGGTTGATAGTGGGCCGACAGCATGGACCTGTAGCCCATTTTCTAGGAATAGTTTTGTTATCCCGTAAAACCTAAACCCCTAAACCCCTAAACTTCCTAGGACTCGTCTTGTTATAGTCTTGAGGACCGCGTTGATTTGTTCATATTTGTTCAGTCAAGTTTCTACGATGCATATGTTCACTCCCGCATATCTCTGCCTCTAAGCCCTAAGTTAGCCCTAAACACCAAACAATGCTGCATCGTGATCGTGAAGCCCGAGAGTCGTGAAAAACCTAGCAGCCTGAAGCCGGATAGTCGAAGCATTGAAGGCCAAACCCACAACAGCTATGCACGTCTTGAAAGGCCTGAGACTTAAACAAGATGAAGACTATAAAGCAACATACTGAGCAAAGCATAACGAGCCCCACCCGAACCTGAACCGGAACCCCCCCCCCTCCCCTCCAAAAAAAATGTAGCCCAAACCTGAACCCGAACCCGAACCCGAACCGGAACCCAAAGAAGACCCGAAGTGTCCAAGCATGATTATGGTGGGTATTTGAGCGCCAAATGTATATACTATACCACTACTTGGACCCTTTGGGGTGAGAACTTGTATGAGGTTTATACATTCATAAACACCAACCCAGAAAAGCAAAATAGCTGAAACCTTATACACCCTAAACCGTAAGTAATTAGCTTTGGGATCTCCTTATTATAGTTATAGTATAATGGGGCCCACAAAACTCATTCTAATCGTTAAGGCCACTATTTTAGCTCTGGGATCAACATAGCCCAAAAGCTTCTATAGTATGGTATTTGGGCCCAACAGCCTCAATACCTGAGTCCTTAAAGCCCTAGGGTAACTAACCATACCCTAAACCCTAAACCTTTAGCCTTAAAGCCTGTGCCTTAGTTTATGAGTTCTTAGAGCCCTAGGGTTCTAGCTCTGGGATCGAGGAGCCTAATCCCCCTTCATAGAACCCTTATAGAGCTCTTTTAAGGAGCCCTTTAAGGAAGCCTTGAAGGAATCCTTTAAGGCTAAGTCCCCCCCTGGGCCTCTAAGTTGGGATCGAGGAGCTCAGTCGCGCCAGAGCTGCTCCGCACCGTCGCCCGGGTGGAGAAGATGATCGAGGCCCATCTCTAACCCTAATAAGGGTCCAAGTGCCCAAATAGTAGGGTTTCAAGGTCCAAAAACCATTCAGGGTATGGGTTTTGGTCCCTAAAACCCTACTATTTGGGTACTTGGACCCTCTGGGTAACTGAACTCAGGAAGTGAGGGTGTACTGTAGGGGCCTGAATCCCCTAAAAGGTTCCTTTAAGGGGTTCCTTAAAAGGGATACTATATGGGTTCTATAATAGGGTTCTGTAGTGCAGGATGGTATCATGGGGGGGCATAAATAATTGGAATTAGGGGCCCTTTAAAGGGATCTATATAAGGGATACTATAAAGGATACAATAAGGGATTTTATGTAGGGGCCTCAATAATTGCCAATGCTGTTTCGGGGTTCCTTTTTATAGTTATGGTGTATTGGGCCCCCAAAAAACCTATTCTAATTATTAAGCCCTATGTCACACGAACCCTAAGGGTCCAAGTAGTCCTCATTTATGGAATCTGGATAAGGAGTACTTGGACCCTTAGGGGAAGTGAGGGTGTGGTGTTTTTGTTTTTGGTGGTGCCAGGACTGTTGATGTTCTTGTGTGTGGTTGGTCTTTGCAGTTTTTGTGGTTTCGGCTTGTGGGGTTTTAGGGTGTTAGTGTTTAGGGGTTTGGGCTTCAGGCTCCAGCGTTTTTGAATTTTAGGGTGTGGGATTTAGGGCCTAGGGCCAAAAGGGTTTCTGGCATTTCAGTTTGGGGTAGGAAAGGGTGTGGGCTCCAGAAGGGCTTATCGCACTTGTCTAAGATTCTGTAAGGTCTGTGTAAGGTTGTACAGGGTATTGGGGCCCGCGCTATATGGCCCTGGATAATTATTTCTGTTAGAGGCTGTTTTAAAGGGATCTATGGGGGTCTGGGGTCTAGGGTGGTATTCGTTTACGGTTTGAAGAACAGGGCCCTACCAATCCGGAACCGAAGACCCCACCACCCTCCAACATGTCACAAGCTCCGAGTCCTGAGCATTATGCCCTGAATTCGGATTCACATCTTATAGTTTCAAGCTCTGAAGTTCTATGTAAACCCTGAAGCCCCTAAACCCTAACCCCTAAACCCGAGAGGTCGGGGGTGCATCAGGTCAGTCCCGTCAATGCCCATGCTGCTCGTGCTAGTACAGGATTTCTGGCTAACCTCTGGCGAACTGGAGAAGGGCCCGAACAAGAAGGAACACAAAACCCCAAAAGCCCTAGACATCCTTCAAACCCCATCCCAACAAGCCTTGAACCCCCCCCGAAAAAAGAAAATAAATAAAAACACAACCCCAAAACCTAAAAGGCCCCTTGACAGCTCCGTGAGGCTCACCTCGCCAAAGTCTTCAAGGAGTTCCGCGCTCTCGGCCCCATGGGCACTCTGCAGAGGAAGGCGGGGCGAGTGCTGAGGACTCAGGGAGGAAGTCGGTGGTTCCTTTACGGCCTAGTCTAAGGGTTACTACAAGGGTATCGTAGGGCCTTGGGGTAGACGCTTAACCCGAAACCCCTAAACCCGAAACCCTAAACCCTGAACCCGAAACCCTACTTGTCTTCCTCAAGGTTCCTTTGTAGATTTATGGTTTTGCAAAAGGTTAATTTCTTTCGGTGGTATTTTCAGCCTCTAAGGAGCCTAAACCCTAAGAGTACCCTAAGAGATCCCTTGAAAGAAACCTTTCTAGTTCATTTTAAAGAGAGCCCATATAGATCCCTTTTAAAGGGAGACCTTCTCATTCCTTTGAAGGACACCTTGTAGATCCCTTTAAAGGAAGCCTGTAACCCGTATATAGATCCCTTTAAAGGAACGCTTGTAACCCCTCTTTAAGTAACCCTTATCATCCCCTTGTCAAGGAACCCTTACATAATCCCCTTTAAACCAGGATGCCCAGTAGTGCCCTTATTCATTTTTTGTAGTCCTAGGTTTCTTATAAAGTTACCCAATACCAAAAAGGGAGCCTTTTCTGTTCCTAAGTTACTGGGCACCCTACCGTAAACCCTTCTAGGACCCAGAGTAGGCCCTTATTCCCTTTTTTAGGGTTCAGGTTCTATTATAATCCCCTTGAAACCAAAAAGGGCACCCTTTTTATTCCTAGGTTGCTCTTAGGTCTAGATTACAGTGTTTGGCCAGACACCCGAAACCTTTATCCGCAAGCCCTAAATCTTGCCTTAACCCCAAGTAACCTACCTTTTTTTAGGACTTGTATACCGAAATTTTTTTTTATTGGAGCCATGGAGCCGTGAGAATTCAGGGCTTGGGTCTCGGCCTTTCCGACGGCTCCAGGACAGAAGTTTCTGCTCCAGGGATTTGGGTTTAGGGTTTCAGGGTTTAGGGTTTTAGGGTTTAGGGTTTAGGGTTTCAGGGTTTAGGGTTTTAGGGTTTAGGGTTTAGGGTTTCAGGGTTTAGGGTTTTGGGCCTTCAGTCTCGGACTTACGGTTTAGGGCTTTGGGGTTTATAGGGTTTTTTAGGGTTGACGGGGCTCATAGGTTTTGGGGTTCATAGGGTTTAGGGTTTTAGGGTTCATATGGCTTACAGGGTTTATGGGGTTTATAGGGTTTAGGATTTGAAGGTTCAGGGTTTTGGGGTATAGGGTTCACTCAAAGCCTCATTTTGTGCTGACCAGGCTTGGTTTTGGGGCCAAGAAGACGAGACGATTCGCTGTGCTCTCCGCAGCCGCAACCTCTTGGACACTCGGCTTCACTGCGTGGCATGTCTGGCTTTCATGGCTTCTAGGCCTAGGGGCCTAGGGTTTGGGGATTATAGCTTTGAGTTCCCATGTCTGTGGGTTTTTTGAGTGCGGTTCAGGGTTTAGGGTTTAGGGTGTACCCCAGACACTCAGTTGCAATGGTGTTGTTTTTTGGGGGCTTAGCTTCGCCTGACCCTAAGACCCTAAACCGTCTAAACCTTGGGTACGGCCCCCACACTAATAGTTGAATAGTACTCATAATATAGATATATTAGGACCTGAATAGTAGCCTTATTACAGACTCTTGCTGTATGGGGGCCGTACCCAGCTTAAACCCCAATTCTTGGCTCCAGAGCGCTGCACAGGGGCTGGGCTGAGGTGACTTGTTCAGGGTCAGTGTTACAGATATGGGTGGCTGTCAATATTAGGGTCCCTTTTTGGGTCCTTATTGTAATACGGCACCTATTATTAAGGGCACCCAAGAAGGGGCCCTAATTTTGACAGTACTCATATGTTCTTCAGGACATTCATGTCTTATTGTTGTGATTACTATTCAGAGTTGACGGTATGGCTCCACAGCGCAGAGTGCAAGGGCTTTCGAGCCGAGGAAGCATCCGCACTCCTTCGGAAGTGCAGCGCCCAACTGCAGGCCCCGTCGACTGTGTTTCCCTAAGGGTCCAAGTACCCAATAATCACATACTTTCCAAAACCCTGACCTACATAACTACTACCCATTATTGGGTCCTTTGGACCCTTCGGGTTTAAGAAGCTTTGCAACTCGAACTCGTGCGGATCCTAGCGATTGCCACCTGGACCCTATAGGCCCGCCCTCGATAGCGATAAGGTTGAGGTATTGTAATTATACCCTCTGCCATATATGGGAGTTTCCGAAAACAGGGGACCCTGATATAGTACTCTAAACAGTAGGATCCTTATCATAAGGAGCCTTAAATAAGGTTCCCCCAATTTTCGGAAACTCCCATATGAGCCCTAAGCAGCTGTAGGGTTTAGGACTTCGGACAGATACCCTGCAGATCTGATAAATGACGGCGACCGGGGACAGCGACAGTGACAGTGGTATATAGGGTTCATGGAGTTTAGGGATCGGCAAGATGTTTCCACTGCCCTGTTAAGGCCCTGTATTTAGACTGCCTGGAGCGATGCTTACGGTAAGTAGTTTCCCTGTTTTCGGCTTGGTTCTGGCCTCTTACAGCCCGTCCGAAACCCTAACGCACGCTGTGGCATGAGTGCTTCCACAACATGGCTTCTGTCTGTTGCTCTGAAACAAGCAACCCCAAAGCGAGTAGAGACCCATACTTTCCAGTGTCTATCCACGCACCCACCTATGCTTCTATCCATCTATCGATAGATAGGCAGATGTATCTTAGGGTTTACCTTAACCCCAAATACATTTGGACCGCCACTGGGTTTATGGTTTTTTTGTTTAGCGCTAAATCCTAGGAGAATCCCAGATCACATATTCATTTTTTGTGAAGATGTTTTTACAAGGAAGTGCATTGCCATTCGTCGCTCTTCTCGAGATTTTCTGGAGCAACAACCCCAGACCCTAAGCTTCCCCGGACACGGACCCTTTTTCAAGGTGTGTGGTTGTCAATATTAGGGTCCCTTTTTTGGGTCCTTATTATAATATGGCACCGAATATTTAGGGTAATTAACCAAAAGGAGCCTTAACTTTGACAACCACCCAGGTTCCCTGGACAAGGACTAAACCCTAAGCCCTAAGTCCTAGCCCTTTTTCAAGGTTTACGTGGACGACACCTCTCGCTTGGTGAATTTGGGGTGTGCCTGTCTCCTGCACTGCTGCCTCGCGAAGTGCCGGAAGCTGGTGGAAGGCCGGTTAGGGTTCAGGGTTTAGTTTGGGTACTGCCCCCACTCAGTAACAGCTGGATAATATTCACAATATGTAGGACCTTAATAGTAGCCCTATTATAGACTGTTACTGTATGGGGCCAGTACCCAGGGTTTAGTAAGTGGTGTTAATTACAGCAAAGCCCAAAAACTTGGAAACTTGACAACGGATGATCGGTGTTGATATCCCCTTTAGTTTGCTTTTCCGGCATCAGGACATTGAGACCTCATAGCAGTTTCTGTATAAGGATTCAACGTTGCGGGCATTGGATTTCGGGTTTATAGGGTACCGGCATGCAAACGGTGCCTTCGTGTGGATCTGAATTCTGGAACTATAGTTAAACCCTACATCCCGAACCTTCGGAGCTACAGCACCAACCTGGAGAATCATGGGTAGTTATAAGTAGGGTTATAAGTAGGGTAACGATTCTTATGACCCATATTAAGGGACTTATAGCCCTACTTATAACTACCCAGAGAGCCCAATACCCCTTAATTAAGGAATATAGCTTAAATCATAATATGAAGCCCTATATAATTTAAGCCATATTCCTTAGTTAAGGGGTATTGGGCTCTCTGGGTACCCCTGAAGCTCCACCTAATCGTCTATCTGGCTCCTAAGGCTGAGGGTTTCTGCCCCTCAGGGCTCAGGGTGTTCATCTCCTATAGGGAGTACACAGGGCTTTGGAGTACCATACTTTAATGCTTAAGTTTTCTTAAAGGAACCATCATGAAATAAAAGTTTATACTCTTTTCTTCCTGGTTACTTAAAAGCCCTAAACCCTAAACCCTGAACCCTAAACCCTAAACCCTAGTTCGCAAGTACGGCCCATGCCTTCAGGCCCTTCTCCTCGGGCTTGTGTCAGTTGTAAGAGCGCCCCGACACCCTCAAAAACATGTTCGTCGTTGGGTCTCCGGGTGTTCATAGAAGGTTCGGGATTTTTGGCTGCCCCAATACTTGGAGGTTCAGGGGTAGTTGTAAGTAGGGTTATAAGTCCCTTGATATGGGTTATAAGTATAGTTATCCTGCTTAGAACCCTACTTAGAACTACCCATGAACCTTCAAGTAGGTCCCTATACCCTATACCCTTACAGAATCCCTATAGACCCCTTTAAAGGGACCCTTATCACTACCCATGAACCTCCAAGTAGGGTCCTGCAGTGCAGAGCCTTCCGGCTTCGTGCCAAAGACTCTTCGCTTTCGAGTCTTGGAATCCCAGATTGAGGATTCCGGATTTAGGTCTAGGGGTTTAGGGTTTAGGGTTGAGGGGTTTGGGGGTTAGGGTTGAGGGGTTTGGGGTTTAGGGTTGAGGGTTTAGGGTTGAGGATTCCGGGTTTAAGTTAAGGTTGGGGCCCTAGGCTTCCACAGCAGCCGCCTAACCCAGGACCCTCCTTGTACCTTCAAATAGGGGTATATGGTCCCAAATAAGGGGCATCTAGGGTCTAAGAGAGGGTAGATGGAGTGTCTAGGTAGGGCTTGGCTCAGGGAGTGCAAGAATCCCTCCTGGTATCCAGAACTGGTCAACTACACCGTTCTGAACCCGCAACGTCAAAGCGGCTACCCGGTCCTCTTCAAGACGTGGGCGTCATGCGCGTGGAGAGCGCCTGATCAGGAAACCATGTTCGACAAGTTTTATGCGGGATCCCACTTAGAGGCCCAGGGGACCTAGTAAGTAGGTTATAAGTACGGTTATAAGTACCCTAAATGGAGCTACCCCAATTGTAACTCTACTAAGTTTTATGTGGGTGAAGTACCTTGCCGAGTTCGAATAAACTGCACGCAACACGACACCCTGGTGTTCTCGGCTGAGCCAGACTTGAGCAAGATGCCATGAATCTGAGCCAAGCCTTAAAACCACGTCATGTAATTTAGGGGTCGGAAGAACTACAAATTGTATTCCTTAGGGTTCTTAGTCTTTTTTTATAAGTTATAGTCAAACATACCCCTAGCCCTGTTCTCATTGTCAATTCCCACACAATAACTACAGTAGAAACTCGGAGCCCTTAGCCCTAATTACACATCGTGAATGTGCCCGAAATGGTTTAGGTCTGGCCTCTTCCAAACCCATACGGGTGGTTGTCAAAATTAAGGTCCCTTTTTGGATACCCTAAATAATAGGTGTCGTATTATAGTAAGGACCCAAAAAGGGACCACAATTTTGACAACCACGCATACCCTAAGCATCCAAACGGACCCAACGACCTTGTGCGAACCCTAGTATTCAGCTACTTTGTACCCTTCGCCCTTAGGGTTAATCTTGGAAGCTTAGACCCTTATAGGCGTGTATCATGGCTTATCTTCATCTCGGGAGCGCTATGCCTGGAGGAGAGATTGTCGAGGAAGAAGATGAGAAGGAGCAGGAGCTTTGTGCGGTAGCTTCTGAAGGGGTTGTATAGATCCTATAGGGTTCACATGAAACCTTGAGAGTTTCCGACAGTTAGGGCAACATGGACAGGTTTCTGAAGGGGCTGTAGAGATCCTATATCTTCAAGGATCATGGGACTTAGTAACTAGGGTTATAATTAAGGTAACTCTACTTATAACTACTTATTAGGGTTCACATGAGACCTTGAGAGTTCCCGACAGTTAGGGCAACATGGACAGGTTTCTGAAAGCTAGGATCTAGCTGGGAGATTGGAAACCTTTAACGTTCGGGCTTCATCTCTAGGCGTCGATTGGCAGGATGATCGGCACGAGCAGTACCCCAATGATACCATGTGGGGCTTTAGGGGTCCCTTCAGGGATTCCTGAAAGGAGTCCTGAAAAAGGGTTCCCTTAGCGGTGAGACTTGTGTTTTGGAGAACCCCCCCCACCTCTCTGGATGATTATCGTTGCTTCTGAAGAGAAACAGTGTCATGATGGTGCTACGATGGTGATGATTTAGCATAGCCTGAGGAAGGTGCGGGTAAAGCCTGTGATGATGATGATGATGTTGATTCGAATATGATGATCATGATGACGATGATGGTTTTGACCGTGACCATGTTGATGATGAGGGTCGGTTGCCATGTGTTCCTTGATTCCGATCTGCTGCATGGCTTTCCTACTCACGTGCTCTCTTGTGCGCGCTTGTGCGCACTTGAAGAACCCCCGAAAACTTTTATGACATCCCTCCGAAATATCAGCGAAAAAATGCAGGTGCTACCAGAATCTGGAAACAAGCTCCTAAACAAGCCGCTATAAGCCAATACAAGCGCCCCCTAAGTATAACTACTGTTGATATCCGCTTGTAGATGTATGAAATGATAATGTGTATGTATATATATATATATATACAGATAGATATCTGTGTATAGATATCTGTGTATACATACATATATCACACCAACAAGAATTATGCACCCCAAACCGTTAAGTCCTGCCAGCCCCGCCCAGTACGCTACGAAGCGACATTTATCGACTTGCCAGTTTCGTCTTTACCGACTTTTGGGACGGGGGTAGGAGGGTAGTTGGAGGGCACTTGTTTTGTTGTGGGGTCGTTTAGGGGGTGATAGGGTGTTGTAAACCCCAGGGTTTCGAAACCCCACGCCCGAAAACCACTGTAAAGAAGCTCTCGTCATTGTTTGCGTGATATGAAGCTCGTCGCTTCGGGTAGACAGTGCGGGCTCTGGTGTTTGGGCTTCATGCTCCGAGTATGAGGTCGAAAAGCCGGTTGGCTTAAAGATCCTTGTGAGAGAGGGCCCGTTTGAAGTACAGTTCCTTGCAAGGACATCTGTGCCCAAGCCGGAACATGCTGTAGGAGCACCAATCAATGACTAGGCTAGGGATTATGTCGTAGCATAAGGAACCCTGTGACCCAAGGAACAACATTAGTGATAAATCAAGCTTCTACATTGCCGAATGGCTGTGCGGGGTGCAGTGGCAGTAATTCTGAACAAGTACCAGGTAGACCATGCGTCCCAACACAAAACAGATTTCAATTTCTGACACGGACTTGTAACCAAAGCGGGAATACACAACTCAGATACTAACTTGTTTTCATACACGCATATATACCCTAGCAAAACAATGTACCTGTACATGCATGCATGCTTGCGTTGTCTCTCTGCTTGATTGTCTGCCTGCCTTCATGCTTCCTGTTTAGGGGTTGAGGGGTTTTAGGGCTGAGGGGTTTAGAGATGTGGCTGCGCTGTGACGCCGGTGCCCCACTGGTGGCAGCTGGAGTCCCCACAGTGTGGATGCACTCGTTGTGCCACCTTCTTAGGGTTTTGGGGGCCAGGGGCAGGGTGTCTTCGGGGTGTTTGTTGCATCCGGAGTTTGGGCAGCATCGCTCGCAAGCCCACTAGTCTTCTTCGCACCTGTGTCCTGTGTGTGTACGTGCGCGAGGTCTACATGGGTTTGGAACGAATCGGCTGTTTCAGGTGTAATCAGGTCGGGACCCTGTGAGGTACATGTATATGCATACCGAGCTGTTTCTGCATATGCATTTGTATACATAAATACATATATGTATATGTGTATATCTATACACAGGTAGATACAAGATATACACGCATATACGCATGCGCATATACATATGCGAGTGTGTATATACATATATACATACATAGATGTGTATATGTATGTCTGTTTTCTCTCTCTGTCTCTCGCTGTCTCTGTCTCTGTGTACGCATGAGGATACACAACCATATGGAATTGTGCATGTCATGTGCATCTGCATACGTGTGTTTGTACTTGTGTATCCATACTTATATGCGTATGCACAACTTAATATGTATGATACCCTCCGGAGCACTTGCCCCTTTGCAGGCCGTGTCTTCGCAGATCCCACTGCGAGCCAGAGCCCCAGTCACACGGGCTTGATTTCTTAAAGTTTGACGTGTTTGAGAAAGTTGTTCAAGTCACGCATTGTCATGCCATCACATCTTTGAGCTCCTTTTATCTAAAGCTTCGCACCCTGGTTGGTGTCGCACACGCACGCCAGCAGGTCGGGACCCCGGGAAGTACATGTTGTTTGTATCTGTATATCCATACTTAAACAAGTATGTCCAACTTAGTCTGCACGCTACCCTCCGGAGCACTTGCCATTTTGCAGGCTTTGTCTTCGCAGAACCCACTACGAGCCAGAGCCCCAGTGACACGGGCTTGATTTATTAAAGTTTTTGGAGTGCTTGAAGGAATTCAAGTCACAACCTTTACGAAAAAAGCCAACTCTTCGTGCCAACATCGCGTGCCTTTGCCGACCCCAAATCGCCGGGATGGGCCAGCAGAGTTTGTGTCGTCAAGCCATCAGGTCTCAACAACTTGCTGTGCTCCTTCTCTCTAAAGCTTCGCACCCAGGTTCATGTGGCACAAGCACGCCCACAGGTCGGGACCCGGGGAGGTACATGCACACGCATATCGGCATACCGAGCTTTTTCTGCATATGCATCTGTATATAAATATATGTATAGTAATGTTTTCACTGTGCATCATTTGCTACAATGCTACAAAGGGTTTTGCCAAACGTCATCTCCTACACGAGGGCTTGGGTTTTCAATCGTTCTCTTTTGTGCTCTGTGGCCTGCCGCTTATCATGTGAGGATTGGTGGCAGCACAAGTCAGGCAACTTGACTGATTGATTGTGTGGTTGGCTGATTGAATGCTTGATTGATTGGTTGATTGATTGATTGATTGATTGACTGACGGACGGACGGACGGACTGACTGACTGACTGATTGATTGATTGGCTGAATGAGTGTTTGACTGACTGATTGTGTGATTGCTTGATTGGTTGCTTGTTGGATTGACTGAATGACTGACGGAATGATTGACTGAATGATTGGTTGGCCGACTGATTGACTGACTCCCTGACTGACTGACTGACTGATGGCTTGCTTGCTTGGCTGATTAACTGATTGGTTGATTGATTGGTTGATTGACTGATTGTTTGATGGATGGATAGATTGACGGACGGCTTGATTGTTGGTTGAGTGACTGATTGATTGACTGGTTGATTGTGTCATTGGTTGTTTGGTTGGTTGGATGGTCGATTGGTTGACTAGTTGGTTGACTGATCGCTTGATTGGTTGGTCGACTGATTGGCTGGTTGATTGGTTGATTGATTGGTTGGTTGATTGACTGGTGGGCTGATGGGCTGAACAGGTATGAGCGCTGTTTTGTGGTGCCTGTTATTGTTACATGTTGAGTTTGTTTGCCGGCGGGCGATCACTTTGCATCTGTAGGGTGCGGACAACATGCAACTCGACCTCGCAGGTTAAAGCCCCTATGAAATTTTGTCAAACCTGATAATGCCTTGTATAATCCCCCTACAGACGCCCTTGATGTTGGTCGAACTCAAAGGCCAATAATTTGATAATAGTTCTCCGCCGGTAAGCCAGCGCTTGGGAAGTTGTGTGGGTGCACTCACTGTGCCACCTTCTTCAGGTTATGTCGGCCAGGGGCCGGGTGTCTTGGGGGTGTTATATACCCTAGCCTACCCATGTACCTGTACATGCAATCATGCTTGTGTTGTGTGCCTGCTTGCTTGCCTTCCTGCCTTTATGCTTCCCGGTAGGGGTTGAGGGTTTTTAGGGCTGAAGAGTTTAGAGTTTAGAGATGTGGCTGCGCTGTGACGCCGGTGCCCCACTGGTGGCAGCTGGAGTCCCCACAGTGTGGGTGCACTCGCTGTGCCACCTTGTTCAGGCTTTGGGGGCCAGTGGCAGGCTGTCTTGGGGGTGTTCGTTGCATCCGATATTTTGGACAGCATCACTCGCAAGCGCACGTGCGAGACGTCTATATGGGTTTGGAACAATTCTTGTTTTTAGGGTTTTAGGTTTTCATTGCATGTATCATTTGCTACAATGCTACAAGACATTATGATTTGGGTGTTCAGTCGACCCTTTTGTGCTCTGCGACCTGCCGCCCATCATTAGTTCGTCACCTGTTTCACAGAGTTGCTATGACTTTAAGGTGGGCATGTGCCCCGCCAAACATCTGCGGGCAAAACGTTGCTTTCGCTCGAACAAGTGTTTGGGCACCGACTCGATTGTGCCCAAACTAGCAAAACAACAACCTTAACACGTATTTTATACTGTCCGTGCAAGGCAAAGTAGCAACTTGCTGTTGCATTTTGCCGGGAGCTGGAACTGAAAAGGAGGGTTGAAACGACGGCTGTTCAAGGCATCGGCCTAACACTGCAGCACAAAAATGTTGATACAACGACAGAGCGGTCTTGCTGTTCAGAATTCCCGAGTTTGACTTTCGAACTAAAGCTGAACCATCTGTCGGGAGCTGATCTACCAAGCTCCGTATCATATGACGGTCCCATCTATAGATTCTATAGAATGCTGTCGAAATAGCATGAACAGTTAAGAATAACCAGCTCGATCTGCGTCAATTATTCTCGGGGATCGGAACTTCAGCCAAGTTTCTGGGAGCTCCGCCCCAGTCCCAGCCAGCTTCGGCCGCGCAACCCGCCGAAGATTTGAACATATGCGAAACCATCCGGCCACAATTTCGATTTGTGACTCAGGTTTGAGGGTGTAAAGCTTCAGGTCCAGATGTTTCGGCTTCAAGGTACGTCTTATTTGCTGGGTGCTTCGTTCTGAGTCTCGGATGCAAATATCCAAGTTCTCCAAACTTTATAAGGTGTAGGGCGATAGTGCGCATGGTATATAATTAGTTATAGTTTGTACTCTCTCATCCTGATATCCCTTGGCCTATACCTCCTTGGCTTTTCTTGTTCATCCAGAACTCAGTCGCCCGGCTCGGCACGCAGATGATTGACTGGGTGCCAAACTTGCCCTGCAACTCGCGGAGGAAAAATGCTCTGCTTTCTTACTTGTTTGTTTGCTTGCTTGCATTCCTACCTATGTACGCATGTGTGAATATACTTGCATATATATATATATATATATATATATATATGTATATATATATATATAATGTAGAGATAGAGAGAGAAAGAGCGAACACTTTGCAAAGAGCAACCTGTAGTAGTATCAGTATAGTTTCAAAAAGGGACAAAACACAGGGTCAATATAAAGGAAAGGGGATGATCATCATTGTTATCAATACACATAATTATCGACGCCTGAAGGACACACTTCCGCTCTCCTTGTCTGCTCAAAGCTCCCCCAGCCTTCTCAAGGCCCGGAGTGTTGTTTTTCGTGCTTCAAAGTTTTAAAGTTTCAGCTCTCTAGAGTTTGGGGATTAGGCTAAAATTTAAAATTTGGGCGTCATGGGGTTTAGGGTCATGGGTAGAAATGAAAGCTCGTAGGGCTTAGGGTATGGGCTAGAACACAAGGTTTCTGGGTTTTATACCTAGTCGTGGCTTTCGGGAGGACACCGTTGGTGTGTTGGGAGGTTTGTGTTCGGACTCAATGGTGTCACGGCTCACTGTCTGACCGAGAACCCCCAAACTTTGATTTTCCGCACACAAAGAATGGGCATAAGTTGGCATAAGGGTAGTTGCAACAGGCAGTTGGCGGGGACGCTGCGGTGGTTCGGGCCTAGGCTGATGTCTAGTGAGGGTTTCGGTCTCCGCATTTGAATGCGGGTACATCAGGCTTTCTTTGGTTTGTAAGCAAAGACCTTACTGCCATGCTTCACAGCCCGACACCGACAGTTCATACCGGTGACAACAAACCCTGGACTCGAAACCTACCTGGATCCGGCGAAGACGATACTGTATTACCCTAACCCCCTGCGTCCAGGAGGAATGAGTGTCCTCGCACAAAAGTAAACCTAACCTACTGTTGGCAGTGGGCCACTGCCGGGAATCATCATCATCGTCGTCATGATCAAAAGTACAATCATCGCCATCACCACCATCAGCAGCACCATCAACAGCCGCTGCGTTCGAAATCCAGGACCTTCAAATGGAGCCTGGGAACGCCTTCTTGCACGTCCCGAACCGGCGCCGCACCGTCGTGTCTCGTTTATCCCAGGGACGCCAGTGACTGCAAACCCTCAGCCCCAAATCGGAAGCCCCACACAAGCCCTAAACCATGAGCCTGCATGATCTCCAACCCCAAAGCCGTAAAACCCAAACCTAAACCCTAGCATAAAGCTGTCTTCGGAACTGAGGTCTTTTGGGTGGTTTCTTGTTCCAGGGTTTCAGTATCTTTCGATTTGCTGGGTTTACGGGTGCGGGCTTTCAAAGGTTTAGGATATAGGCATCGAATCAGAGGCTTGGGGGTTATGGTTCAGGGTTTAGTGTAGGCCTGGCAAGAGAAGAGATTTGTTCTGGGTCCTGTAAGTATGAGTGGAGATGTTGCTGATCATGTGTCTACATCAGATGTTGAACTCAAATCCCCAGAAGAGAATGCAGTCTGTCCAAATGAAGGGGAGTTCTTTCATCGGCAAAACTAGGTTATCTTATATTACCGTATACTATATACTTCTACTTAAAGCCTACTTACTAAGTCCACTAGGCCTTCGCGTCATGGTCCCTAGACTTACGTAGACGTTTTCGGGAAACAGTTTTGTCGCAAAAAAGCCCGTTCGCAAGTGGAAGACGGGCCTCCAACTCAAAGCCCGCTTGGGCCCTAATATAGGAGCCTTTGTAGTTACAATAGGGTTTTGGGGGCTCCTTCTTATAGTTATAGCATGATATACCCCCCAAAACCTTATTCTAATGACCAAGGCCGCTATATTAACGCCCAAACCCCCACAGCCTAAAGCTCAAGTCCTACCTGGACCCCAAAAGTATGTAGAATAATAGACTTTTATCGGTATTGGGCCATTATTCTACCTACTTTTGGGGGTTTCGGTACAGTATAGTAGAAGCCAGAAAGTTGGAACATGGCTTTAGGGGGATTAGTGCTAGGATCCCTTATACTTTACCTTTAGGGCATGAGGAGTCTAATCTTCCAACTTTTAGGTTTCTACCATATACCGTTCCACCACTATGGGCTATTAGACCCTAAAGATCCCTATTAGGACCCTATTAAGGGTAGATTAAGGTACCCATAAGGTCTAATAGCCCATAGTTCCACCTAAGGCCGTTTCCTCGCGACCGACCTCGAAGCCGCAGCGTTCGCCTTCTGCGCCGCCGCTGAGGAGAACAGGTTTAGGGCGTATACCTGGACCCTATAAAACCTTCCTTTTGGGGTTCCTTATTATGATTTCCTTATACATATATGTATATATACATATATATATATAATTAGATAGATATATAGATATAGATATAGGGTCCTTGAAAAGGTAGGTCCAGGTATGGTTTAGGGTGTAGGGCTCAGCAAACTGAATGAGATGCGAAGCTGTAAGGGTGCTCGCCCTGCGAGGAGAAAGCCCGAGGAAAAGGAGGAGAAGGACTGAGAACCTTTTTGATCTTGTTGCCTGTAGGGTTTAGGCTTGAGGATTTCGGCTTTAATACTTAAGGGCTAGTATGTTGGGTTTAAGGCGCAAGGGTCATGGTTTAAAGTTGAGGGGTTCGGGATTCAAGGTTTGATAGATTGATGTCGATCTGTGATTTATGACTTTTTGGGACGATCCCTAAACCCTAATGGGAGAGGGATTCATAAATCCGGGGTCTACATGAGGGATTCGGGATTGAGGTTGAGGATCTCAAGTTTGGTTAGTGATTATGAGGTTGAGGCATGTAACTTAGGCCTGAGGATGTCGGGTTTAGGGATTCGGGTCTGTGTTTCAGGTATAGGCAGTCAGGATGGTTCAGGATTAGGAGTAGGGATTCGGGATAAGGGCTGCGGGTGCAGAATGTCGGTGGTGAAGTTGAGAGATACGGGCCGATGAGACTTGAGCGGTTTAGGGTTTAGGGTTTAGGGTTTAGGGTGATATGCAATATGCTGAGCTTTTTTGTGCTTGAAGTAAACTCTAATGCTTGAGCTCCCCAGCTCTAAACCCCCCAAACCCACAAACTGGCCCCAACTGGGTAGTTCTCTACATGGGCCCTTTCGTTGGTAGTTTGGCACGGCGCCCTTATAAAAAAGGATCAAAGAAGGTGCCCTAATTTAGAGAACTACCCAAACCCTAGTCTTTGTGCCCCCTAAACTTCCTAAAGCCCTAAATCCTAAACCCCACCCTAATCCTTAAATCCTAAATCCACAAACTGCCCCTAAATATTCAACTCTAAACCATCGCAGGACCGCGACAGATATGGGCGGCAGCTGGGTTCTCCTTAAGCACCGCGCTTTAGGCTAGGCCTGAGAGTAGGGTTTAGGGCGCAGGTTTAGGGTTTAGGGTTCAGGCTTTAGGCTTTAGGGTGTAGGATTTAGTATAGGGCTCTTGGACGGCATTCACAATCGGGCTAAATCTCAAAAAGCCTGAAGCCCTAAACCCCGAACCCAAACGCCCCTAAACCGCTTACAATCCTACACCATGACCCCTCAACCAATAACCCAAATCGCGACATCTTGCCCAAGACCCCTCACGTAACACAAAAGCCCTTAAAACCCGACAGATTGCCCAAGACACCGCAGCGACGTCCAAAAGGAAGTCCTAAGACGACCCCAAACCCCAGACCCAAAGCCCTAAACCCTGAATCGCCCACCCGAAGCCTTTAAAGCCTAACTCCAAAACCCCAAAACCCCAAGCATTATGATAAACCCTATGTGCCCTAAACCTTAAATCCCAGACCCACACCCTAGAGGCGACATAAACCCGAAGCCCTAAGTCCAAGGAAGTCCTTATAGATGACCCCAAACCCTAAGCGCCCAGGCCCAAAGCCCTAAACCCTATAAGCCCTAAAAGCCCTAAGCCCGAAGCCCTATATGCCCTAAATCCTAAGCCTAAACCCTCAGCCTAAGCCCTAAACCCTCTAACCCCCTTAAGCCGAAAGCCTCAAGTCCAAGGAAGTCCTTAGATGACCTCCAAAGCCCTTTACCCAAAGCCCTATAGACCCTAAGCCCTATAAGCCCGAGATCTCCAAACCCTAAACTCTAAATCCCGTAAGCCCTAAATTCTTTAAGTCCAAGGAAGTCCTTAGATGACTCCAAACCCTGGACTCTCTGAAGCCCCATAAGCCCTAAGACTCCAAACCCTACGTAGACCCAAAGCCCTAAGCCCTAAGTCCAAGGAAGTCCTTAGACGACTCCTCGCTGTCACTCCTGGGCCTCGCCGCCTGGGCGGATCCTTTCGCCGTCCTCAGGAGACCCGAAGTTGAGGGACATAGGGGTTCAGGGGTTACCTTAAGCCGGAATAACCTACCTTTTTAAGGACTTATATAAGGAAATCATAAAAAGGAACCCTAAAAAGGTAGGTTATTCCGGCTTAAGGTAGTGGGGGGTTTAGGGATTAAGGTTTAGGATTTAGGGGTTATAGGGTTTAGGGTTTAGGGGTCCATAATGTTTAGGGGTCATAGGGGTTCAGGGGTGAGTGGGGGGTTTAGGCTTTAGGGTCTAGTGGTTTAGGTTTAATTTAGGGGTTAGTGGGGGTTTGAGGGTTTGAGGGGCTGTTTTGACAGTTTGTCCTGCATTTTGGGAGCTTGGTCTATGGGGCTTACAGTAGAAGCCAGAAAGTTGGAATATCATTATCGTAACCCCTTCAAGGTAAATTATAGGGGATCCTACCATTAATCCATATTCCAACTTTCTGGAGTTCCCTGTAGGGGTTTTGGATTCTTAGGTCCTCCGGATTTGGTGATGCATGGGGTCTTTCCGTTTTGGGGGCTGGGTGCGTTCAGAAGGATTCTACAAAAGACTTCGCTGGGTGGCTTTAGGAGGGGTTGCAAAAGAGATGCTACAGAGGTTTATGTGCATGTGTATATATATATATATACATACATATGTATATATATATATATATATATATATATGAGTGTGTGTGTGTGTGTGTGTGTGTGTGTATGGGTTGTCCTTCAGCTTCAAGCCGAACCACATCACGACAAACCCCTAACCCACCCTCCCCCAGCCAAAAAAGCAACAAGCCCCAAAACCCAAACCTCTAAACCTTGTAAACCCCAAACCCAAAACCAAGCAAAATCCAAAACACACTAAATGATGACTTGGGGGCCGTTACCTTTTGGGGCTCATTTTTTCCTACTATAATTCGAAAGGTAAACGTTTGTTTGGGCTAGGGTACTCAGCCCCTAACCCTAGGGATCAAAATAGCCAAAAAGCCTTATATAATATTGTCTTTGGGCCCAAATGCCTTAATATATGAATCCTTAGATCCCTAGGGTGAGACTACAACTTAGAGGCTCAGGGGACTTAGTAAGTCGGTTATAAGTAGGGTTATAATTTGGGTAACTCCGTTTAGGGTACTTATAACCCTACTTATAACCTATTTACTAAGTCCCCTGGGCCTCTAAAAAGTTTTCAGGGGTTGAGGTTTGAGCGCGTTGTCGCCAGAGGCGCCTCTACCCTGGCCAGCAGGGAGATCCACGCCAAGGTGCAGCAGTGCCCAGGGTGCTACAACAGGGTTTAGGGTTTTGGGTGTAGGGTTTTAGGGCTTTGGGTGTAGGGTTTTAGGGTTTAGGGTTTTAGGGTTTAGGGTTTTAGGGTTTAGAATTCTAGAGTCTGGAGGTTGGGGTTGTCTGCTTTCCGAAGGTTTGTGAATGATTTTGGAACTCAGGGTTCCGGGTGCACGGGTTTAGCGTTTAGGGTAAACCCCAAACCCCAAATCCCCAGACCCTAACTCACGGTCACCTGCTTCACCTTTTTTCATGTTGGGGAAGGGGTCTCGTTTACTGGAACTGGAGTAGTTAGACATGCCCCCCATTAGCCATTGTCAAAGGGTTGCTGGACCGGAACCACAAAGCTCCACTCATGACTTCAGATTCGACTCGCAGACTCTCCGGTAGACCCTACACCCCTAAATCCGGATTTATGCGATTTTGCGATGGACTCTGAGCCTTAATTTGCAGAATTTCCGCTAAACCTAAAACCCCCAACCCTAAAACCCTGAACGGCAAAGCCTAAACCCTCAAACCCTAAACCCTAAAACCCTTATATAATGGATCGTGAGGCACGAGGGGCTACAACGACTTCGCAAAGGCGAAGCCCCCTGAGCCAATCTCAGTCAGTGCAAGCAACGAGGAGAGCCGATACCCCGAGTTTAGCGTTTTTGAGCTTAGGTGGTAATGAGTTATAGCCATAGTCGTATAAAATTAGCATTAAGTGGTAATAACAGTATGCGTAGCAGCAATAGTAAAAATAGCAATTATGCGGCATGCGCATCGGGTTTAGGGTTTAGGCACCTTCCACGGCGTCTTTTTGTAGTGTCTGGGTTTTCTGCTATGTTTTCGACTGAGAGTCTAGATGCAGGGTTTAGGGACGCAGCTCCTGGAGGTTCAAACTTCCTTGAAGTGGTAGTGTAGAGGGGTTTGGGGGTTTAGGTTTTAGGATTTGCTTGTTGCTCGTTGGTAGCTTGGGCAACTGCACTACGGGCCCCAGTCGCTTTACAGAGGGTCCTTGGAAGCCTTGGATCAATTAATGAAGGATCGTTCTATCTTGTGGTCACTTCAAGGGCCCAGGGTCCTAACATGTCTTGACTCTCGCGAACTCCAGTTGTGCCTACAAGTATACTTCTTCAACAGCACACGGAGTTTAGATAGAAAAAAAGGTCTTGCATCTTCAGCCCCACGCGCAGGCTTCTGAGCCAACCGATTCCCGGACCTGCGATGGTATTTCGCTTGTACCACGACACGTTCGACGGTAAAGGACTTCAAGACACAAAGCCCTAGCCTCTGAACATCTAAAACTCTAAAACCCTGAACCTGGATCGAAGCGACGGTGGGTGCGCATGTGAGGAGAAGTGGACCGCCGCGTGCCAAGAGCCCCGGACGATCCTGGAAGCCGCAGGGTACAAGGCGCCCTAAACTCAGAGGAGGCCAAAAGGGGTTTTAGCCTATGGGGGTTTAGTAGGGAATGGGGTTCCCAGAATAGGATTCATATTAAGGAATCCTTACCCCAAGAATCTTAAACCCCCCTTTGGGCCTCCTATCATAAACCCTAGAAAACCCTAAAGCTTCAACCGTCAAAGGGGAAAGGAGGGACCCTCAATGGGAACCCCTACCCTATAATGGGCTATATAATGGGTATTATATAATAGCTATAGTAAGGGTATATACCTAGGGGTCCTTATTAAGGGTCCCTCCTTTTACCCTTGGAAACCGTCGGCCCTTGCGTGCGTTTTGTTGGCTTGGAACCCCACAAACCCTAAATTTCCCTAAGCCCCGAAACCCAGAGAGCCTGCACCCTTGCTGCTTAGCCTTTTGGGGCTTAGTTGTTTTGGGGTTTAGGGTTTAGGGTTTTGGGGTTTAGGGGTTTAGGGTTTAGGGTTTAGGGTTTGGGGCTTAGGCTTTTGGTTAGCGCTTGATACTTCAGCAGCCCATCGAAAAAGGCAGAGTTGGGGAAGGGGGTTTGGTTTGCTGTGTAGTCTTCACAGATCTGTATGATCTCAGGTTTACAAGCATTTGGGATTAATGTAATAAGAACCTTGAGCAGTAAAGTCATGTTTTCTAGGGGTCATCCTGCACTTCTTGTTGTAACCATAGTACAAACTACCCCAAAAGCCAATCCAATTATCAAGGTCCCTATATTAGCTAAGTAGGCCTTTGGGACATTTTATATTTTCCCTTCTGAATATTTTTCAGAGGCTTTAAAGGGCCAACCGAGTCAGGTTCTTGGCACTGAGCCCAAAGGCTAGGCTCTGAAGGCTGATCCCTTACCTTCGGACTCCTAAGCCCGAACCGGCGTCCGAAACCGAATACCCAAAAAGAAGGGGCCGGAATACCTGAAAATCGTAAGAATTCGGGATTCCTCAATACTTCGAGGCCCAGTGGGCTTAGTAAGTAGGTCATGATTAGAGTTATCAGTGCCCCAGATGGAGATACACCAATCGCAACCCTACTATAGCCGACTTACTAAGTCCCTTGGGCTTCCAAGTGTAGATATCCCTACTATATAATGTACCCCAAAACCCCATTCAAACTGTTGCGGCCCATATGGAGATCTTCTCTCCGAAGTCTTTAGACTTTTAGCTGGTTTTACCCTGAAGATGAAACGATACCACTCGTACCTCGTGGAGTCGAAGTCTACCCACCTTTACTGTGTTTGTAGATCTTGAATCCTCAATCGAGGTGTTTTCGGAAAAATCCTAAACCCGCAACCCCATGCCTATAGAACCCGTCTACAACCCCGAACCATAAACTCTCGATCCCCCTTGCAACTTACTGTCGGTCCTATGGTCTTTGATTTCGATAATTCGGCAACAGAAAGCACCTCGAGAAGCTAGTAAACCTCAAGCCCTAAACCCTGTGGCTTAAACCCCAAACCCCTCAAGCCTAAACCATAAACCCTAGACCCTTTAAGACAAAACGAAGACCTGGAGGAGCCCTAAACCCTAAACATTGAACTCTACACCTTAAACCCTAAACCCGAAACAGGAAGCCCTGAACTTTGAACAATAATCCCTAGACCCTTCAAGAAAAAGCCCTAAACCTTAAACCCTAAACCTGAAACCTTAAACCCTTTACCCCAAGCCCTGAGCCCTAAACCCTACTCCCTGAACCTAAAACCCTAAACCATAAACCCTTAAACCCCAAGCCCTAAACCCCTAGACTTTTTTCAGAAACAAGCGAAGACCTGGAGGAGCCCTACTATTGCACCTTAAACCCTAAACCCTTTATAGAACCCTTATAGATCTCTTTATAGATCCCTTTAAGGAACCCTTTATAGATCCCTGTATAGATCCCTTTAAGGAACCCTTTAAGGAACCCTTTATAGATCCCTTTAAGGAACCCTTTAAGGAACCCTTTATAGATCCCTTTAAGGAACCCTTTATAGATCCCTTTAAGGAACCCTTTAAGGAACCCTTTATAGATCCCTTTAAGGAACCCTTTAAGGAACCCTTTATAGATCCCTTTAAGGAACCCTTTAAGGAACCCTTTATATATCCCTTACTGGAGGAGCCCTACGAGCTTGACGTGGAGTGCGGGGCCGCCGGAGTCGCCGTGCCACTTCCAGCTAAGGCTGCAGTAGTAGAGGTGCTAGGGGTTTAGGGGTTCCTTTAAAGGGATCTATAGGGGACTATAGGGTATGATAGCATTTAGGAGGGTGATATAAATCCTTTAAAGGAATCTATAGGGGTTTCCTTCAAAGGAATCTATAAGGGTTTAGTAGTAGAGGTGCTACTTGGAGGGTCGGGGGACTTAGTAACTGGCTATTTTAAGGACTTATTGGGTCCCTTTTAGGGTACAGTAGTCGAGGTGGACAAAATCCTGCATTGCCCTTTATAAGGAATATACCATAATTCCAGTAGTTTAGAACCCTTAGGGTCATGCAGGATTTTGTCCATCAACAGCAGAAAAGGTGCTAGGTGTTTAAGGGTGTTAGGGGTTCCTATAAGGGTTCTTATAAAGATTGCTATAAGGGGTGTTAGGGGTTCCGTTAAGGGTTCTTATAACCATAACGGGTGCTATGGGTTTAGGGGTTTAGGGGTCCCTTTTAAGGGTTTTCTTGTTAAGATGACTACAAGGGGTGTCAGGGGTTCCTTCAAAGGGATCTATAAAGGCTTAGGGTAGAGGGAGTTTAGGGTTCAGGGTTTAGGGGTTTAGGGGTTAGGGTTTAGGGGTTTAGGGGTTCCTTTCAGGGTTCTTATAAAGACTACTGTGAGGGGTGCTATGGGTTTAGACTTAGGGGTTCAGGGTAGAGGTATAGGATATTACAAGGTTTCGGGTTTAGGGGGTATTGGTTTAGGGTTTAGGTTGTGGGTGTAGGCTTTAGGGTATTATGGGTTGAGGGTTTAGGAGTAGTAGTAGCAGTAGTAGTAGTAGTAGTAGTAGTAGTCGTACTAGAAGTATGCTTAGATTTCAGGGCTTAGGGTGCAGGGCTTAAATTTGAGGCCCTCGGATTCAGGCCTTGGGATTTCAGGGCGTCTTAGGATTAGAGTTTAGGGTTTACTTGGACTTCAGAAACCACAGACATTCCCGTATAAAGTTTGATGCAACTGTCGGTGGTCCATGGTAGGGCAGGGTCTAGTAACCCTAAACCCTATAGCCCCTAAACCCTAAACCCTAAACCCTAAACCCTATAGACCCTAAACCCTATAGACCCTAATCTAGGGTACAGCTGTGCTCCACCTATCGGCCTTGGTCTTTAAAAGCAGAGGTCTTAGGGTTGTCTAGGGTTTAGTGCATAGGCGCCTTAATGTGTTGGGGTTAGGTTTAGGGTTTAGGGTTTAGGGTTTAGGGGTCCAGGGAAGAGGCTCTTTAATATCAGGGACATTACATATGGGAGTTTCCGATAATTAGGGGTACCTTATCTTGGGGTCCTTATAATAAGGATCCTACTATTTAGGGTACTATATTAGGGTCCCCGATTTTCTGAAACCCCCATATCGCATGGGAGGTTCAAGTGGGACCAGTGCAAACATTGCAAGCAGCAGCAACCACAACCGCACGCCTGCACAGCAACGTGATCCCTTACAATCCCCCGATCCGCCTTTGGTACCAGTGGCCCCTTGATGGTCGGTAATTAGTCTTCACCTCTTAGCAAGTTCCAGCGGTCATGTAGCAGTCAGGTTTGCCAAGACCTTCCACCTACAGACCCTGAACATGTACTTTGCTTAGGAGCAAGGTAGCCAAGAAAGGAGCTTCCTTTGCGCCATGGCGTTTCTGCGACAGATGCGCCTTACCCTGCTGACTCGTCGTGTAGAATCCCATCTCCAATGTGGCTCTGCACAGCTGTTGCGACCAGTGGCAGCAAGGCCCTACCAGCTTGCCTCGAGGAGACTTAGCCGCCTAGTGCCTATCTTTTGGCTTTCTTCCGTAGCTTACACCATGTGGAAACACAGTGAAGGTGCAGCTGTGTGCATTGCGAAATCTTACGGGATGTAAGCACTGATGGACTTCATGCAAAGCTACTCAACAGAAGGTTCAAGGGAATCAATTTTGCTCGTTTGCTTTTGGCTTTTCTTCGCCTCAAGCATGAGCCTTCTGCCCTAAGACCTATGGCTCCGTTAGTTACCACGATTACTGCAAGTGTTTGAAAGGTCGGGGACTTAGCGGCTTAGCAGTAGGTGATAAGCAGGGTTATGGTTCGGATAGCCCCAGCTAGAGTAACTGCGCTTATACTTGTAACCCCCAGTGATAGCTTCGCGTATAACTCGGTGGGCCTGCGGGACATACGAGACAACTACAAGAAAGGTACAAGGAAACAAAAAGAACCTTATGAGAAACGTTACAGTGTACAGCTTTCCTAAGTCCTCTCTCTGATGCTGCACGTCAGGGGGAAGTGTGCTGAACCCTAAACTCTGAACCGCCTAAACTCTGAACCGTGAGACCTAAACCCCACACTGTGGCCCTAATATGGGGGCCATAATTAAGAGTAAAGTTTTGTGGCCCATTATACTATAATTACAGTAAGGAGCCCCCAAAATAGTATCGGTATTACGGCCCCTATAGTACACCCAAAGCCATAGCAACCTTGACAGAATCGATCCCTTCGCAGAGCTCTTTATACGAAGCCTTAACATTGCCGTTTCTTAGGGGGTACTCAGTTTTGTTTTAAAACTTTTTGGTTCCTATAATCCCTAAGGCCCTATTTGTTGTTCGGGGTCTAAGTTCAGCATAGCTTTTGGTGACCCCAACAAACCCTTAACGGAACTTTGAAATTGACGTTTGCATCGCCTGTAAAGGATCCCTTAACGGAGTTCTTAACAGAAAGCGTCGGCTTTGCCCCTATTTACGTGACTGCGCGAAGTCAGGAGAAGGTAACCCTAAAACCCTAAAAGCTAAAACCTAAAACCCTAAAGCCTAAACCCTAAGCCCTAAAGCCCTAAAACCCTAAAACCCTAAGCCATAAAACCCTAAACCTTAAACCCTAAAACCCTAAAACCCCAAACCCTAAGCCCTAAAACCCTAGGGAGGAGGACGTTGTGGGAACCTATCGTTTTCAAGGTCTCTTCTGAAACCCTAAAACCCTCAACCCTAACCCCTAAACCCCATGGATCCCTTTAAGGAACCTTATAGATCCCTTTAAGGACCCCTTTAAGGAACCCTATCCCCTACTTCAGGAGAAGGTTTTCAACGGAGCCAGGGCTTGGCTCATGGGTGGATCCTTTGGCCTACCAGGGCACCTTTACCTCCTGGGTGGATCCTCGGCTTTAGGGTTTAGGGTTTAGGGTTGAGGTTTTGGGGTTTAGGGTTCAGCAACTCCAGTCCGAGCAGTTTTAAAGTATAGTTGTATATACGGCTTGGATGTAACACCCACCCACCCTTAGAATCCCATAACATTAAGAAAATACAAAGTTTCGTTCATCCTCACTAAGCATCTACCTACAACTTGGCTTCACACACTTCTATGACTATAATGCCCCTAAAGTCAAACCCTAGGCCCTAAACCATAAAGCCCAAACCCTAGGTCTATACTCTAAAGCCCAAACACTAGGCCCTAAACCCTAAAGCTCAAACCCTAGGCCCTAAACCCTGAAGCCCAAACCCTAGGCCCTAAACCCTAAAGCCCAAACCCTAGGCCCAAACCCTAGGCCCTAAACCCTAAAGCCCAAACCTTAGGCCCTAAACCCTGAAGCCCAAACCCTAGGCCCTAAACCCTAAAGCCCAAACCCTAGGCCCTAAAACCTAAAGCCAAAACCCTAGGGTTTGCCTTAAACCCGGGCCTAAACCACGAATTCCATTAAGGTTGGTCCGAAAGCCCGTGCCTAAACCACGAATTCCATTAAGGTTGGTCCGAAAGCCCGTGCCTAGACCACGAATTCCATTAAGGTTGGTCCGAAAGCCCGTGCCTAAACCACGAATTCCATTAAGGTTGGTCGGAAAGCTTGTGCCTAAACCACGAATTCCATTAAGGTTGGTCTGAAAGCTTGTGCCTAAACCACGAATTCCATTAAGGTTGGTCCGAAAGCCCGTGCCTAAACCACGAATTCCATTAAGGTTGGTCCGAAAGCCCGTGCCTAATCCACGAATTCCATTAAGGTTGGTCCGAAAGCCCTTGCCTAAACCACGAATTCCATTAAGGTTGGTCCGAAAGCCCGTGCCTAAACCACGAATTCCATTAAGGTTGGTCCGAAAGCCCGTGCCTAAACCACGAATTCCATTAAGGTTGGTCGGAAAGCTTGTGCCTAAACCACGAATTCCATTAAGGTTGGTCCGAAAGCCCGTGCCTAAACCACGAATTTCATTAAGGTTGGTCCGAAAGCCCGTGCCTAAACCACGAATTCCATTAAGGTTGGTCCGAAAGCCCGTGCCTAAACCACGAATTCCATTAAGGTTGGTCCGAAAGCCCGTGCCTAAACCACGATTTCCATTAAGGTTTAAATTACTATATGATAAAGAGGTTTAGGGTTTAGGGCTTAGGGTTTAGGGTTTAGGGTTTAGGGCTTAGGGTTTAGGGTTTAGGGCTTAGGGTTTAGGGTTTAGGGTATTTAGGGTTCAGGGCTCTAAGGAGTGACTAACTCTACCTGGTGATCCAAAAACCTATTGTTTTAAGGGTTATACCCTCTAATTAACGGGTCATAACCTACCGTTTTGTAGGGTTTGGGGATACAGGTAGGGCTCTAAGGACTCACATACTAAGGCTTCTGGGCCCAAAAACCATACCATGTAAGGCTTTTGGGCTGTTTTGATCCTCGGCAACAGGAAGAATCATTGTTGAAACCAGTTAATGATCATCATGATGGAAGTCATAGCAATGCTAGTAGCAATAACAGTAACAAATGTTGTAATAAGAATGGTAACAGTCCTACTCACAATGCCAAGAATAGATACCAATTGAAATAATCAGAAATAATCATGGCATAGTAATTACACCAATCATGGGCCATTCTGAAGAAGTTTGAGTTTTTACTTTGGGTTTCCGGCAGGCATTGTTTAGTGTTGCCGGATTCTTTGAGGCTGTCACAGAGAGGCTCGCAGGGCTTCTGACGGGTGGAGCTGCGGCCATTCTGAAAAATTTAAGGGTCCCTTTACCCTGAGGGTCCATGTACTCATATAGTATATACATTGGCCTTAAA